GGAGTTTTACTTGCTCAATGTACTAATAATTTTAGCGTATAAACATTTTGGAGAGTCCCTTGTTGCAAATAAAATGAAATTCCTCAATAGATAGGTTTCAGTATCTTTATTATATACGTTTGAATACCGATTTATGCTAGAATTTGAGTAAATATCTATATTTAATGTTCTTGTATTCAGTACTTATCATATAAGAAAAGGTGCAAAAGCGATTACGCTACTACAAAACCGCTAAAATTAGTCAAGGATAAATCAGTTCTCTATATAAAAAGAAAAGTAATCAATTAAGTCGTACCGGTATTCCTCTCCGAAAAGACAAAACTTTATAAAATTACACGAATATTAAGAAAGTAAAGCACAGAGTGCTTGGGACCAGAAATTCCATACGTTATAAATATAATTCGATATGTATCTGCTAAATTAAAAACTATATGGAATGAAAATGATTTGGCGTTAACCATAAGTTACATAGGCGTCGGAAGCAAATTGAAAGTGTGTGTGTGTGTGGGGGGGGGGTGTGGCTAATTGAAAGTGGGGAATGGGGGGTGGGGGATGGGGGCTAAACCACCAAAAAAGGTCAACCCCAATTTTCAATGCCTATATAATATCTATGCAAAAAAAGTAGGAAGGCAAGCCCCCCCCCCCCACCCTAGCCCCCCCCCCCCCCCGGGTTACGACGCCTATGAGTTAATTTTAAAAGTGTTCACTATCACCGTGTTTTACTGTACAGTCGATAAATGAAAATGCTCGAGTTATATATGAAGAATAACAAGCTAAGTCAGAGAAAGAGAAGAGCATGCGCGGATCTAGAGAAAGTAGGGGGTGGACTGGGTGTCACTTTAAGAGGGGTGGGCGGGGCAATAGGGAGTTATGGTATAAAATTTCACTGCAAAAGCTCGAAAAAACTTCTTGAGATATAGCTCGGAAATGAACGTTTCAGCTACTTGGTTCCATCGACTTCGAGATAACAAGAACTTTTGTTTAAACGATTAAACGGATGTATTGTAAGAAAAATTGGTGTTCCAGTCACAACTTCTACAATGAGCCGCTTTTCCAATAACGCAGGAAAAGGCAATACAGTAGCTTTGTTGGCATTTCGGACGCTTAAGGAATGAAGCAAAATCACACGTCTTTTTAATGCACAAAACTCATGCAACACAATAATACGAATACTATATTAAACGAACAGAAAAAAAAAACAATCTGAAAGTTCTTATTTTCAAATTTTAAACCTGCAATTGTTTAGAACATCAGCTGCTGTTCGTTTTAAAAATTGTAGCTGCAGAACTGTAGCGTTATGGTTTATATATATAAGTTTTTGACCATAACGCTACAGATCCCGTAATGCAAATAATGTGCAATTTACGACGCAAGATTTTTTGCGCGGGGTGTTGAGGAGATTGACTGATTGATTGTATGTTATTTAATGTCCCTCTCGAAAATTTTTCACTCATATGAAGACTCCACCTCTTGCCGGTGGAGAGCTACAAATATTGTCCTATAACCGGCACTCAGGGCCTTCGAGCAGTGAGGGATCTTTTTTGTGCCAGCACATACTGCGACACGGGCCTCGTTTTATACGGTCTCATCCGAAGGACCGGTCTCCACGTCCTACAGTGGGATTCGAATCCGCGACGTAAGGATCAATTTCTTACTTCCGACTTTAGAGCAGACGCTCTAACCACTGCGCCAGGTTTTAGGGAGAACTTCTCCACTTTCCATTAACAGTCAATCAACTACCTTTCACTCCTTATTTCTGGACAGTGAACACGTTATTTGACAAATCTGTACATTTTATCCACCTCTCAACCCTTTATAGTCGTCTCTACAGGGGAGAACCTGGATTTCAGAAAATTCGATTCAACCAATTACGCCCCGTTATTAGCAAAATTTGAAAATCTTTTACGTGAAAAGAAGAAAACACTTGTTGTGGCTTTTAAATCGACAGCTAGATAAATCGACGACGTAATGCAATCATACCTGTCAATTAACAATAGTTAATTTCTCTCAGTTGATTCGATACGGAAGAGCATATTCTTCGTATAAACAATTTCTAAAACGAGGTCAGTTATTGACAAACAAGTTGAGGAAGCAAGAATATCAACAGCCTAGTTTAAAGTAATCATTTCGTAAGTTCTATGGCCGATTCAATGACCTTGTTAGCAAATACAATTCACCCTTAATTGAACAGTCGGGATGTTGACTTGACCATTACCAGGTTTTTAGTATTTGAGTTTCTGGCTAACTCCACATAGAACCACACTAGATTTTTTTTTCTACACTTCATACCATTGCTTTTCCCCCCACTATTCCCATGCCTCAAGGGATGTACAACAAGAGTTACAAGACTCTCAAATTCACTTCACATTTATTAACGTTAAGTAAAATGCTGATTGACTTTTTTCATACTGAATGTTAGGTCACTATTTACACACTGTGTTGTCCATGGATTTTTCCGTTATTTTCCGATCTTGATAAGAAGCACACGGAGGGTGTGATCGGTCAACAGGGAATGATCACTCCTCCATGGCACCTGATCCCACCTCTGATGTTTTGGAGGTCCGTGTTTGCTCTGATCCTATTGTGTAGTGTTTAATGGACTCTTGAGCTCGAATACTGTTCAGTCGTTATTTCCACATATTTCATGAGTATACTTAAAAACTCCAAAGAACTTTAAGAAAAATTGAATTCACAATTGTACCAAAATCAGTAACCTGAAAACGTACGGCTTTTCATCACTTTATACAACCATAAAAACAAAAATAAAGTGAAGGTTTCTTGATATATCAAAGTTGCGTTTCCAATAAAAATGGAATTCGTAAATTTAATTACATTGGCATTATTATTTGCAAAATTATTTTGTTAAAAACATTTTGACTGTGTTCCGAACTTGATATTTGACAAATGCTTTTGGAGTCCAGTCTTCCAATATGGTATTAAAAACCTCCCAATAAACAGAAGAAAAAAAATGACCATTTCCATCTAAATATGAAGGATAGTATTTAGCACGTTTATGGCAGCCTAATAAAAACCTTTTTTTTTTTTTTTTTTGATAAACAAAACTTTATAACTTTTACTTTTTACCGTCAACTTCCCAAGTACTTGTGTAGCCAGAAACCTTTATCCCCTTCATATACAGGTGCTTGCCGTTTTTAACCCTTTTTTCATAAATAAAAAAAAATCGCCATAATGTAATATTAAGTTATTATTATAGTATGGGGATATTTTTTTTATTTTTGAAACGAAAGGTTAAAAACGTCAAACGCCTGTGGGGACGTGTACTCATCCATGGCACCTGATCCCATTCCTGATAAGTTTAGAGGTCCGTGTTTGCTTTACTTCCTGTTTGGATAGATTGAACTTTTGAGCTCGGTTACTATTCGTTATCTCCATGCAACTGGTAGAAGTAATTATTAAAGCAATCGTCAAGCACGGCATTTTAATAGCAACTCAAAGGACGACCAATTAAGGGGAAAACGTCTTCAATTCGCACCTGTATGAACCAAGCATTGATTGGCTCTGTATTGTCCAGCATTCTCCCGTTCTGTATTGTTCAGCACTCTCTCGATAATTCGAAGAAGTAAATACCAGAAATTGTGTAAATCTAGTATACAAATGTCCAGAGGAAAAATACTTTTATTTTGCCATTGTAGAGTGCGGTGGGCTCACTGAATATTTCCTTTTGTTTGCGGTATTAGTAGAATATCCTAGAAAACGACAAAGAACAGCTCAAAGCTAAGTTTCAGTCCTAATATTGGATGACCAACAATGGAGAAATATCATAAGCTGTTGAGCAGTCTATGCTCATATCATTAATTTTATTTCTTCACTTAACAGCTGTTCGCAGTGACAAGAACGTCAAGTTCAGAAACCATCAAACTTATGCCGTTCCTGAAAATCAACGTAGTATTCTCCTACATACACAAGGTTTCGAACAAAATTTATATCTTCATTGAATATTTACAAAGTTATAAACATTATCTACGACTTTTTGAGACAACCCTCGTATACATAGGGATCTTAAAGGTTTCAAGACGAAAACTTTGTTCTCCAAAGGCTTTTGCAATGAAATTGAGGACTTTCTTAACCTTAAAAATCATATGCAATTGATTTTTTATCTTAAATCTCTGTGGCATATAAAAAATCTCCCATTGGAATTGGAGGGTCAAAAAGTCAAAAGACAAAGACATGGTCAAAGATTCATTAACTGGATGATTTACAGATTTGACATGAAGTGGACCAAGAATCTATCTAGTCCATATATACACTGGACCATCAAAATTATTTGGGATTTTATCCTCAATGTATCTCAAATCCTTGGATATCTCAAAAAGTTCTTTCTTGGTCCCAGCAAGTTTGAGAAGAGATTTAACTGTATTTTTGTTGCATCTGATAAAATATTTTTCTTTCCAGATGAACAGCATATACCGGTACCAGCTTATTGGCTTCATTTGCCTCACATTGACTGTTGTCACTTGTTCAACTTTGAACCTTGCATGTGACCCTAGGTCAGCACAAAGGACATGTCTCATTGGTTGTTTGAGGTGTCATGTTGCATATGGCCCACAATTTTACAACATGGAAGCCTGCTGTATAGACTGCAGATTAACAGGAGCACCTATATTAGATGATGGACCAGACATTTGTTCTGATAAATATATACAGGAAAGCTGGCTTATAAGATATGGCTAATATTCCTGTCAGATGATCTCCCAAGAGTCAACTTTTTGCCAGTGAATATCCTTCAATATTCTAGGCCAGAATTTTGTGACTATTTTGTGATGGCTTTTTCCTGTCCAATGGAATAGACAAAGTGCCTAAATTAACGAAATTCCACTCTTATAGAAACGATGACATTTACACAGAACATTGAGGAAATATAATTTTTGAAATAAATTATTTTTTAGTGAAATTTTTTTGTTCATATTTTCTTTCATTGGCTAGGAGTTGATTTTATCTCATCAGTGCTTGTCACATGAAGTCCTCATCATACACAAATCTGATAGTTATATAAATTTTAATGTGAATGATAATATACATCATTGTAAAACAATCCTAAAAAGCAAAAAAATAACAAAAATATATAAAATGATAAAAGAAAATATTATGTATGTAATTTAAAGTCTTATAGATTCTTTCCAAAAATTAAAGATGAATTCTTAACATAATTTTATTCTTCAAAAAGAAATACAACATGCTTCAAGAATTGTATCTTAGACATCAGTATTTTAACATCACTCAAGTACAAGCTGGGTTTTTTTCTTCTAAAAACAGGTGCTTTATAAAGATGAAAAAAAAACAGAAGAAAAAATCCAATAATTACAAAAAAATATTGAAAATCAAGATTAAAGCATTTGAATTTGATTCAGAAGACAAAAACAATTGTGAAACACAAACACGGGGGTTGGGGGAGGGTTATAACAAGTTGCAAATTAAAGAAACAAGTGAATTAGTGTACACACCTTCTTTGTTCAAGTTATAAAGAAAGCTCATTGAATAGGTACATCTATATTTAGGCTTTATAAGAAACTATGCTACCTGTAAGATAATTAATAAACATATTCCCCCCCCCCCCCCAAATTTCAGGGAACAAAAAAGAATGGCATGGATTTGCAGAGAAGAGGAATGCTTAGCACCACAAAAAAAATTATTATAAACTACACAATTCTAAAAAAAAATCAATGACAAATCTTGCTGCGCATTTATCAGTTAACAATTTCCATGTAACATAAAACAAAATTTAATTTTAAACAACAAAAGATAGCAGAGTTTAAGAGTAAAATTGTTTCCGTCATCTTGTTCCTTTTACCAGTTGTATATTATTTATTCAATCCCTAACCAAACATGCATTAATTTAAATCTAGAAAAAAGAAAAACAAATCTATATAACCTTGCATATTGAAAATGTCCTGCATTATGAGATTTGATGACACATATTGCATACTGTCATGTTTTACAGCTTCTATGATGGTTCCAAAAAACATTCAAACATTTATTTCACTTAGACATCATTTGTAGAAAGTAGTGAAAAAAAATCTCTTGATAGATTCACCATAAAAATGTGAAACAATGCAAAAAACACTGCAGACACAAAGCAGAAAAATGGTAAATGATGTTAGTAAATTTCATGTTTTGCTTTACTCCTTAAAAGAAAATAAATAAGACTGAACAGCTTTCTCTTTCAAATGTCTATTATCTTGAGTTGAGAAATTGAACAGAATCATATTATGCTGTTCCTAACAAATTCTATGATACAACAATGATTTTAATTCCTATATATTAACATCAATGCATCAAACCTAGTGTTACATTTATCAAAGCTCAAAAAAGTACTCAATCCAACATGGATTCTCCACCAGAACTACATTATCATATATACCTAGAAATAGTCTAATGTCCTCTCATTTAATATTGCTAATCTTACGAATCTCAGTATAATTACATATAATATGACAAGTGTACATACAGTCTACAACAAAGCCACAAGCTACGAGTGTACTCAGTAGAGTTTGTTAACTATCACATGAGATCTCACTTCTGTTGCGGTTTGCTGTCCAGTGAGTCGAGGCCCTCATGAGGGGGAGGTAACTTGATATCGTTAGGCTCCACCCCCCAGATGTCTCGGGCGTACTCGGAGATTGTTCGGTCGCTGGAGAATTTCCCTGAGGAGGCGATGTTAAGGACACACATCTTTGCCCATTCTAGAGGATTCTGAAAGTCAAAATAATTTAAAAAGAATACTTAAGTTAATGACTTGTACCGGAATACAGTAAATACCCATCCTCCTTAGTTTAAATAAAATTCAACAAAAAGTATGAGAAAGCCTGATTTCTTTGATGTCTGCTATACTTAGAATGGATGTACATACCTTGAATACTTCACTGACTCTGTCCTGGCATCTAATGTAATCTTCATAATCCTTCAGAAGGCAGAATCTGAAAATAGAGACTTGGATTATTCTTCCCTTCTATCTGGCATTAATACAAAAACTAAACAAAAGTCAAGTTGCAGTAGTCATCTTTTAGTATTGAAATTGTTATTATTACTTTTTGTATAATGTTAAACATAATTTTACATCTATTTAAGGTGAAATATTACTGTATTTTCACACTTTGAAAATAACAAATATTGTTTCCACATTATGGAAATAACCAGTATTATATAAAATATTATTTTAAAAAAAAATCGATATACTCTGACCCTCCCTTTTCAGGAAAGGTGAATAGAATTAATACAATGCAAATCATCACGCACTAAGCAATTATTGTTTTCATTTAAGTGGAATAGGCAATATGGTTTGGGTACATTGATATATCCTTAAAGCTTCTAAAGCATCAGAAGCAAAACGTGGTACATGTACCACCAATGAGACAGCATACTGTGACCAAGGAAACTCCAATGAAACCCAAAGTAGACGAAATGAAGAGTGGAAAAACATTTTCTGCATACAATATCCCTTTTATAAAATACATGTACCATTTTATATCGTATCTGTGAAAACGGTCATCGCAAAATGTCTACCGGTAAAAATGAACCTGCAGCAAAAGCAGTCCCTTGCTTTTCGTGGAAGAATTTCTATTCCCAGACTAAAAAAATTCTGCCACAAACCATGACTTGATCATGTTATTGAATTACTTCTGCATGAAATGAACTCAGAAAATGTATCAACCCTCAATTACAGAGTAAAGGCTCCCTAGATTAAGGGCCAAGTTGCACCACTTAATTATGAAGCATCCATCATTAAAAAACTGTCCTACTTATGCCTTTCTATTAAAGACTTGGAAAGAAACTTGTCATGCATATTTCACAAGGGCAGAAATGGCTATAGATTTATCTTGTATTTAAGGAAATGAACTTTTTAAAAAAAGTTTAACCATTGAGATATTTTATAATAATAAAATTTGATGAAAAAAAATTCGAATTCACAAGTCCAGTGAACCCTTTTAATATATTCTAGACAAAAACTACCAGTATTCTCTCCTGAAATTCACAATGCACATAAACCAGGCAATTTTGAACAGACACTACTCAAAATGACCCTCACATCATGCATAACTAAATGTGTAACTACAAATGTATAACAAAATGCCCCTGCTGACATGCCAGTTTTAAATAACTGGAAGCTCAAGGTTGTGAAAATAACAATGAGCAGAAATGAATCAAAACCAGATTATAATATTGCTGCTTCTGTTTTCTTGAATCAGCTGTCTTTTCCACAAATTACTTAAGCTGCATGAATATAATGATTAACTTCAAGCAGTAAGTGAATTAAGCTAGTATTGAGGGAAATATATGTCCCTCGCTTCACGACAAAATCAGAGGGTGGATTATTAAACAAAAAATGCAGATTAAAAAGAAAAAGTGATCCATCTTGACCTTTCACCTCCTGGCCATAAAATTAATTCGGGTTTTTCTTCAGTTATAGACATTTCATTGCAAGACCTCAGACTTAATTTACTATCTGAGAGCCATATGAATATTTGACCTTGACTTTTTGACTTCAAAGCTGATCTAAAAGCCATTTGAATATTTCACAGGGAGTCATAAAGCTAATGAACATATTTATAAATAGTCTGGAAACCAATATGGAAGAGAAGAATGACAGATACTCAATATCCTCCAACTTTTAGTGAGTGGGGTATGAAAAGTCAGAAAACATTTAACATAAAAATTTCATGAAATGGACATGATACTTGAACTTAATCTGCAGGTCATTAATTTAAAGAGCCAAACAAAAGAGCAGCTTATAAAGTACAAGCAAAACAATAAAAGTCTAGAAAACTATGTAAATGACTGATGGACAGATGGGGTAACACTCTATGCCCTAGCCATTTCATAGCAGGCCAAGCCATCATCAGAACACCATGCAGGATCACACCAGACTACCTATCTGGCCACATAACCAAGTTGTACAGATCCCGAAACTGATTGGGTTTGTCCGGGGTAAAGAAACCCGAGTTCAGCTGCTCGAGCACCATATGGAGTTCTCTGTTTGTCTCATAATAAAACCGGGGGTTGTAACTGAAACAGAAAGGACACACATTACCTGTCATTGTACACTAGGGAATTATAAATATCAGTGAACAGTCCCGGTTCCTCGGGGGAGAAGAACCCTCCCTTGATTTGATCAAGCACCTGCTTCAAGTCTTTGTTTCCTTCATAGTAGTCCTGGGGGTGGTACCTTGGAATGGAAAATGAGGCATGATTCTTTATGTATATTACATTTAATATGCTTTCTTTCCTCTCTCAAATTTTATGTCAAACTATTATTCAAATTACTATGCTTCAATCAATTTACACATTTACAATATATAACTAGTTTACATTATCATTTCAATATGAAAACAGCTTTAGAAAACTTATACAAAAAGGATTATATAAGACTAAAAAAAAAATAATCAAGTTTAAAATTTGTCACAAGATTTGAATAATAAACTTCCTATGTACATATACATGTGTACATGCACCAAAAAATTCTCAGGATATGCAAAATTTGGATATATATAATATATATGTAGTATAAAAAAAAGAAAAAAAAATATGAGCCATTTTTCTCTTTACACAGTAAGGAATCTCAAAATCATAAAATATCTTTGAGGGCACACCATTGTTCTGTAACAGATGAAATGATATTATTGTTTAACTGACAACATTTATGGTGCAAAAGATAGAGCAACAGCCAAAGCAACTTAAAACTCTGATATCATACATTGTAGGTGACAAAACTGAAACTGGGGAACTGGAGGACATTTGCATAAATAATAAACAATAATACTGTTCAGAGCTCCAGTTTGTTTCTGAACTTTGGTTAGAGACAATGACCAATGGGATGTAATAATCTATTCTTAAAAAGGATGAACATTCATCATGTGTTGACACTTACTGGTGTTCTAGTTTGCTGCATTAATAAAATGAGTTTGTGGCATGAATACATTTGAATGCTCTTCCGAGTAATTATGCTTATGTACTGTATAAGTAACTTTAAACAAGAGGCCCAGGGGCCACATCGCTCACCTGAGCAATTGGCTAGAAAAAAGCACATATATCAGATCAGAACTGAAAGTTAACTGAAGGCGGGGAGGGGGGAAGGGGGCTTGAATTTTAACCCCCCAAGGGGTCATGATTTGAACAAAATCTACAGTACCTGAGGATGGTTCCCTATAAATATCACTACGCATAGCTTTGAAGTACTTGAAAAGAAGATTTTAATAGGTTTCCCTATATATTCCTATTTAAAACTTTTATCGGCCATTTGGCCCCACCCTACCTCCGGGGTCATGATTTGAAGAAACTTGAATCTACACTATCTGAAGATGATTCCACATGAGTTTCATCTTTCCTGTTTCAATGGTTCTTGAGAAGAAGATTTTTCCTATATATTCCTAGCATGTAAAACTTTGATCGGCCATTTTAGCCCCACCCTACCCCCGGGGGTCATGATTTGAATAAATTTGAATCTACACTACCTGAAGATGATTCCACATGAGTTTCATCTTTCCTGGCCCAGTGGTTCCTGAGGAGAAGATTTTTAAAGATTTTTCCTATACATTCCTATGAAAAAGTTTGATCGGCCATTTTGGCCCCACCCTACCCCCAGGGGTCATGATTTGAACAAACTTGAACCTACACTACCTGAGGATGATTTCACATGAGTTTCATCTTTCCTGGCCCAGTGGTTCTTGAGAAGAAGATTTTTTAAAAATGCCATTAATTTTTCTCTAATTCATAATTATCTCCCCTTGGAAAAGGGTGTGGCCCTTCTTTTGAACAAACTTGAATCCCCTTCACCCAAGGATGCTTTGTAGCAAATTTGGTTGAAATTGGCCCAGTGGTTCTTGAGAAGAAAATGAAAATGTGAAAAGTTTACGATAACGACGACTACGACAACAACGACAGACAACAGACAAATTTTGATCAGAAAAGCTCACTTGAGCCTTTGGCTCAGGTGAGCTAAAAAGCGGGCTTCATATTTTAGCAGCTTTGGCACAGACAATAATGAGCTAATTTATGAATATTGCTCAGAAATCATTCATAAATACAATATACGGCACAAACATGTGTAGCGCTAATTCATGATTG